AGGGATGACTTACGGGTTACAGAAGACCTCTACCACTGGCAAGCCACCACCAAGGGATGACTTACGGGTTACAGAAGACCTCTACCACTGACAAGCCACCACCAAGGGATGACTTACGGGTTACAGAAGACCTCTACCACTGGCAAGCCGCCACCAAGATACGACTTACAGGCGACCTCCTCCATCTTGACCACAATACAAAGACCACCTGGAGACGTGTTTTCCTGACCACTCGTGTCGCCTCTTCCCCCCAATATGGCCAGACAGACAAGCCCATGTTGTTCTGACCCTCCCTTCTCCAGCTCTCTTCACCCCCCCCCCTCCATCACGCCCTCAGATCTTCCTCCCTAATCAACCTAGGGCGATGCAACACCTAACACCTGTTTCCCCCTCCCCCACTTTCCTTACTCCTCCCCAAGGCTTTAAGCCCCCCAACCCACTGAAAAAACTAAATCCCACCTGATTCATCTTCATTCACACCCGACCAAAATAATCCAATACCCCCGATCCCAACGCTCTATACATCTCCCGAACCTCCACACCTCACCCAGTACACTCCGCAACATGCTAGCTCCTCTCCCAACTCTCCAAGCCTTTCCCATCCCTCTCACAACCTGCAGAGTGTGAGAGGAGGACGAGAGATGGGTGGGAGGCTCTTCATCCCTTGCGGTGGACAAGGGGGCCCCTTTTGCCGGACAAGAGCCCCCTTGCGCCGGACAAGAGCCCCCTTGCGCCGGACAAGAGCCCCCTTGCGCCGGACAAGAGCCCCCTTGCGCCGGACAAGAGCCCCCTTGCGCCGGACAAGAGCCCCCTTGCGCCGGACAAGAGCCCCCTTGCGCCGGACAAGAGCCCCGCTTGCGCCGGACAAGAGCCCCCTTGCGCCGGACAAGAGCCCCCTTGCGCCGGACAAGAGCCCCCTTGCGCCGGACAAGAGCCCCCTTGCGCCGGACAAGAGCCCCCTTGCGCCGGACAAGAGCCCCCTTGCGCCGGACAAGAGCACCCTTGCACTTCTCTGGCCACGTCACAGTCCTCTCCTCGCTTCTCTCAACCTACAAAACTATGGCCACTTACGACGCTGTGTCACCCAGCAACAATACCGGATCACTAGAGAACAATAGCGGTTCACTAGACAAAAGTACCGGGTCACTCGGCAACAATACCGGATCACTTGGGAACAAAGCGGGGCCTCTGCTACCAGCCCGCATCCTGTCTGGCGCCAACACGCATCCTGATGACCCGAACCTCACAACGTGTCAACATTGCTCACCAAACCTGGTTATTATCTTCACCAAAATAAACACCTTTTGATCTCCTGGTGTCCATTCCCCGGCCATTAGCGGCACGCGATGTGAATCTTGACCCTGGAGGCGCGGCAAGCTAATTTGTTTTGCTATTTTTAATACATATGCTCATAGTCAGTCTGGTTTCCTGAGGTGACTGACCTTGGCAAATGTCAGGAGTGCATGCAACCGTTAATCATTTGATAGTTAATCATCTGACGGTTAAGGAATCTCAATCTCACAACCTAAGAGGAACCAACCCGTTCTCGCAAATTTAATAAGTCAATATTGACATTAAATATGTGCATAGGTGACATACTTAACATAATAGTTTCCCTTGAAAAGCTTCATAGAAAACACCGACCTTACCTAACCTACTTAGTATGTTAAGATAAGCATCTTATTGCTTCGTAATTACAATTATTACCTAACCTATACCTATAATAGGTTAAGTAACAATTGTAATTACGAAGCTATAAGATGCTTATTTTAACATACTAAGTAGGTTAGGTAAGGTCGGTGTTTTCTATGAAGCTTTTCAAGGGAAACTATTATGTTTAGTATGTCACCTATGCACGCAACTAATAAGTCAATATTGACTTATTAAATTTGCGAGAACGGGTTGCAGGAACAGAGGTGACATGATCATTTCATACAAGATGCTGTAACTGGATTGTACCCGGATGAGGTTCTGGGAGCTATTCTACGCCCCAAGCCCGGTCCGGGGCCAGGCTTGACTTCTGAGAGCTTGGTTCAGCAGCTACTGGAGAATACAAAACAAGTCGGGCAAGGACAGTCTCTGTAAGTTAAGAGAAAGAAGGACAGGAGGACACAGGAGGACCACCAGCAGCAGCACCAGTAGTACCACCACCACCACCACCACCAGTAGCATCACCATCACCACCACCACCATCACCACCACCAGTAGCATCACCATCACCACCACCACCACCACCAGTAGCATCACCATCACCACCACCACCACCAGTAGCATCACCATCACCACCACCACCACCAGTAGCATCACCATCACCACCACCACCACCACAAAATATAACTCTCTAATCTTCAATTACCGGCAGGAAAACATCGACATAATATTTCGATAAATCGCTATTAGTGAGTCTGGCGCGTGTGTAGAGAGGCGGGCCTGGTGTTGCCTCTGACAGGTTTATGTGTATGTGAGAGAATATACATGGCAAGTGCAGTCCGAACAAGTAGGCAGGCAGCCAGGCGGTAGTGAGGAACCACCCACTACAACCACCAATTACTGTATCCCCCCCCCCGCCCCGCCCCATCTATAACCTTTCTAACAGTGACTAATGGGAAAACTGAGATCTAACCATTTATGCCTCGCCTAGTAACTTTGTTGTGGTATAATTTATCGAAGTCTGGCCTTCAAGAGAGCAGAACACCCATTTTCCCAAAATACCAATCAACCACTTTGAACGGAAAAGATATTTTCATTTGAGCATGTTAAAGGGATGGCTTCCTCTTCCTTCAGAGATGTGGACAGACTGAGGGAGAGCAAAGGAAAAGGTGAATGTAAGGAGGAGGGAGAAACAGAGTCATAGAGAGGCGGGCGCAGAGGGTTAGACACTAAGCGGATGTCAGGCTAAGAAAGAGAAAATGGAAGTAAGGTATATGTGGAAACAGTGAGGCAGAATTAGGAGGTTCAAAAAACCGATAATATATGTTAGGAATTAATAATAAGGGTAAATATTAAACATAGGTTAGAAACACAAGAGAATGTTGAGAAAAATAATACGAAAATAAACTGAAAGGAGAAAGCAAGGGAAGGAAGAAAAGAAAACGGATTCATAAGGTAAACAAACCTATACCATAATGACGTTAATGATTTGAAAACGGAAACTGCGTGAAAGTAGATCACTTATAGGGACATATTGCACGGTAAAAAGTCGCATTATTCCTGACTAACAACAAAAGCCCAGAAATTCAGCACTGACCCAAAATGAAAGCTAGCTTTTTTTTTTTTTTTTTTTTTTCTTTCTTTTTAGCAGGGATAATCCTGCGCGGGCCCTAAGCCTCTGGCTGGCCCACTAAGTGATGCTTGTTTCTGTTTTACCTGGGCGGAGGATGAGTATGTATGACTCGTATGGTCGCTTCAGTAAGATTTTGCCATATGTGTTTAACAACTTCCTCTGCTCTGTTGAATCGAAGGTGAAATCTTAACGGGTTTGTAACTGTGCACTGTGTTAGATAATGTTCCAGTGGTCTGTCGGGCATTTCTCCACAGTGTTGACATTTCCTCTCACCTTCCGGAACCCGTAAGCCTATTTCCCATGCACATGGGTATCCAAGCCTGATGCGATGTAAGTGCACTTCTGTTGTTCTACTGCCCCCGTTCATCAAACTAAGTGGTTCGTAGTTGGTTGAATTCTTGTACCAACCCGCAGATCCTGATGTTGCAACTGCTGTGTTGTGGTCACTGTACATCTTTCGCATTGCTCTGTTTCGAATCACTTTCTTCATCTGGGAGAGACTCTGTGGTATGTAAATGTCTACATTCCTCCTCTTAGTAGCAAGTTTTGCAGCTTCGTCTGCAAAGTCATTACCTAATAGTCCCACTTGACTTGGCACCCAGTTGATAAGTACCCGTCGGCCTTGTCGTTTGAGAAAGCTAGCTAAACATAAAGGAATTACTATGAATTTATTAGCAACTTTTGCTAGAGTCAAGGGTTACAATTCAACCTGTCTTCTTACAAAGAACGTCGCTTTTCGGTCGTATGCGTTACATAAGGCCAAAAATTGTCGTACTAGAAAATGGAAGCGGCTGACGAAAGTGATGCACTGTTCCGTTTCTGTTTAGGCTCCTCTGGTAGGTTAGGAGAGGACACTTTACAGTGACCTTGAGTTGGGAAACTTTAGGAGGACTGTATAATTAGCTCTAGCGTATCATACTGCGATGTTCAAATTACCTTAAGTTTGTAACCGTTACGTTAAACGTCTATGCTTGCTGGAACGTTCTGCAATGAAATAGATGACGTAGAATATGAATGCATTATCGAGGCGTGCCGGGATACTTGTGCATGGTAGTCCGCCGTGGCTAGGTAGTCACCCTTGGTAGTCCGACATGGTTGGCTGGTCGTACATGGTAAACCAACGCGGCTAGCCACCCGTGCAGCGCCACACACCACTCAAACTCCTGTGGTTGATTGTTAAATAATTCCCTGAACTATATGTTTAACAGATCTCTCACCCTGTCCATGGAGGACAGAAGAAAATGTATATATGCTGGTTAGCATTGCAAATGTGTGGCCACGTCTGTGGTAGAAAACAAATAAAATTAACTTGCCTCCGCCATACACGTTTGTCATATCATGTCGGCCACCTGGGAAACTCGTCGGCACTTCTAGACTAACAAGTGTAAACACTCGCAGCTACATTTCTTACGTGTGTATTTTTATGTCCATTTTTATTCCGTATTTTGAACTATTGTTATAAATCCAACATCTTATATTTACTTTTCACGGTTTGTCCTCCATAATGGGTACAACTATCAATGATACGTCTTCACTCGCTTGAGTAAACAGCAGTCTTTAAGTTTACAGGGAAGCAAGGCGCAGGGAACACTTCGTTTAATACTTTATATACATGTCTGTACTTCACAATTTATATTAAAATGTAATCACCGAGGGAAGGTACCAAAAAAAGAGACTGATCGTAAGAGTTGATTTAAGTATTGTGTCTCTCCCCCAGGGCCATGTGTCGTAGTGTGGGCGTCGTGTTGATGGTGGTGTGTGGCCTGGCTCGCGCCCTCCCACAAATGCCTCCAGCTCAGACCACCGGGCAAAACTACGTGGCCAGGAGCGACCATATCCTCCACCACGACCACACAACCAGACTCGCCCAAAACAACAGAGAAGACAACTTCACCACTAACGCCTACAAAGCTGGCAAAAGCCACGCCTCCAGAAACGCCTACAGTGCCTCAGATAAACACAGTATCAGAGAAAGTCACACTTACAGAGGTGCCCATTCGACAAGAGGAGCTCACGTTACAAGAAGCGCCCACACTAGGAGAGGCACAGACGCCACCAGAGTTAGGTCTACAAGCACCCTAAAAGTGGCCAAAATACGACGAACGGAGCCAATTTTGAGGCTTGATGAGGTGGACCGTAATAAATTTCCCAACATTTCTGACTATGTGTTGCAAAACGGTAAGTTCTTCTTGCTCTCTCTCTCTCTCTCTCTCTCTCTCTCTCTCTCTCTCTCTCTCTCTCTCTCTCTCTCTCTCTCTCATGAGTTACACAATGGCAGATATCTCCACAACAGACAGTAAATGCAGACAACAACAAGACTGAAATACAGAAACACATCACGTTCTACTTCTCATCAACACCAGCAATGTTAGTTAACTAAGACCACCTTCCACTAGACCACCACCAGGATGTAAGACATGCTGGTCACCCTCCCAGTAAGGATATACATGACATTCATTGCTAATCTTCCCAACACAGATATAATAAATCCCTTACGTAAGCCCTAGATTAATATCTCTCACAGATTAATATCAACATAAAGCCAGTGAATATCTCTTTCACTCAACACAGTACAGGACTACCCGCCGGAGGCTCAGAAACTGCTGCAGGAGGACCACCAAGATCCCGAGGTGACCGGAGGCTTCTTCCAAGGAGACATGGCGGGACTGACCTTCGAGGTGAACACAGAACACACAGTAATTCTCACAGTTGGTGAAGCAGCAGCAGCAGCATACCCTGTTGTGCAGACGAGGAGTCACAATAACGTGGCTGAAATATGTTGACCAAACCATACACTAGAAAGTGAAAGGACGACGACGTGTCGGTTCGTCCTGGACCTTTGTCAAGTCGATTGAGAATGGTCGTCGTCCCTTCACTTTCTAGTGTGTGGTTTGGTCAACATAACTTGTGTTTGTAACAGTTGACGTGAGAGTAGTTGAAGTAATGGTAATATTTGTTGGAATAATTGTAATAGGTGAAATATCTGTTGCACTTGGAGTAGTAATAATATCAATATGTGTAGTAAGAGTAGTGGTAGTAATATTTATATTACTTTTAGTGCTTGTTGAAGTAGTGTAAAGTGGATGGGTACGTCTTGAGGGGTTGTGTTGATGGTGAGGCAAGTAGTGAGGGGCTATAATTGTATTAAAAGTGTTTTGTAGTAATATTAATATTTTGTAGAAGATAGTAATATTGGTATAAATGATTAGTTGTGGTGGTGGTGGTGATGATAGTTGTGTTGAAGCAGTGATGGTGATAGTGGTGACTGAAAAAGTGATGGTGGTAATATTGAGTGAAGGAGTGATGGTGGTAGTGGTGAGTGAAGTCTTATAATCATCACTTAATCACCTAAGCATCAATATATTTCGAGATACAGTCATTAATATAATATTGACCTGACTGGCCAACACCACCGTCTGCCCCCCTCCCCTACAGTTCCTGGGGTCGACGCGGGTGGGACTGAATTGGAACGTGTTCCCGGAGCGCCGCTGGACCAACGCTACTGTGCCTTATGTCATCAGTGACCACTACCGTGAGTAGGTGTTCCCGCTTACCCTAGTCTACCCTACACTCTCACAAAGTGCTTGTCAACTCATTACCTTCATGGTGGGTGACCTCCCCATGCCTAGATATCAGTATATGGAGGGATTAATCAGTAATAAATCTGTGTTGATAATTGTCGACTTGTGTTACAGTGCCGAGGGAGCAGGATATGATCGAGCGAGCGGTGGCAACCATCAACTTTATGACCTGCGTCAAGTTTGTCCCGTGGGACGGAGAGGCCCGCGACTACGTGCTCTTCTGGCCAGCCAAAAAGCCTGCGGGGTATGCACGCCACGGTTCACTATCTCCAGCCCTTCCGGCCGCGCCTCTCACTATCAACTTATACCTTTCACTCGTTACATATTCATGTAAAATAGTTTGAAAATTTAATTCAGCTTTTAGGTCAGTCGTTGTGTATACAGTGATAACGTTACGTGTTTAATTACGCCATCCCTGGTGTTTAATGTAATACATTTTCAAGAGATTCTATAATATTTCTAAGAAATCACAAATAGTTCTGCAAATTTTCTTTAGACCTACGTGTATGTTTATCAAGGTATCTTGTATGATAACACCATTGTGGACAAAGTGTGCAGTTATATGCCAGCTTAATACTTTCTTTTAAATAATACTTCATAAAATGTACTAACACGCGACTACTGGACCACACAGCCCTAAACCTCCACTATCCATCACCATCAACACTACCACTGGACCACACAGCCCTAAACCTCCACTATCCATCACCATCAACACTACCACTGGACCACACAGCCCTAAACCTCCACTATCCATCACCATCAACACTACCACTGGACCACACAGCCCTAAACCACCACTATCCATCACCATCAACACTACCACTGGACCACACAGCACTAACACAGACGTTCCAGTACCAATAACAACACTACTGTCCCTTATACGGGCTCACTATAACCCGTGCTACTTGGAACTTTGTTCCAGGTAGCGAATCTTTAACAACAACACTACTGTCCCCTTGCAGCTGCTGGTCGTTCGTCGGGAAACGCGGGGGTCAGCAGGTGGTGTCCCTCCAGGCTCCAGATTCTCACTCCAAGCGCTGCTTCATCTCCCTGGGGAAGCCCATCCATGAGATGCTGCACGCCCTGGGCGTCTTCCACGAACAATCGCGCGCTGACAGAGACGAACATGTCACCATACTCAAACACAATATCATTCCCAGTAAGTCAATTAGTCTTGACACACTATCAGCAAGAACAGCCTCACTGTTGGGTCATTCAGAAAGATGCTCCAATTTCGTAAGTTATATAATGTCGAGGTTCGAATTGCCAAATCCGAACTTCGAGCGCCAAACCCTTACGACTATATAGCACTGGGAAGGGGTCAGGATAAGGATTTGGGATGGGACGGGGAGGGGGGGGGGGGGAAGGAAGGGTGCCCAACCACTTGGACGGTCGGGGATTGAACGCCGACCTGCATGAAGCGAGACCGTCGCTCTACCGTCCAGTCAAAGTGGCCAAAGTAACAGCAGTAAATAGGTTATTTTGTATACACTTTATAGAGTCCAGTTGGCTAAGGAACCTGTACAACAGTTGCTTGATGGTTGAGAGCCGAGACCAAAGAACCGAAGCTCAACCCCCGCAAGCACTAGGTGAGTACACACACACACACGCACACACAAAATCTTTATTTACCTGTTACAATTTCTTTAAATAAATTATAACCAATTTTGTTTTAATTATAAGGGGAAAGGCGCCAAGCCATTACGACTTTATGGCACTTGGAAAGGGTCAGGATTAGGATTTGGGAATGGACGGGGAGAAGGAATGCTACCCAATCACTTGGACGGTCGGGGATTGAACGCCAACCTGCATGAAGCGAGACCGTCGCTCAACCGTCCAGTCAAAGTGGCCAAAGTAGCAGTAGTAAATAGGTTATTTTGTATACACTTTATATATCAGTACAATCCGCGCGTTGTTGTCGCCAATTCAATTCCGCCTATAGTACTGTCGTTGATGTATTCTGTCATCGGTGTACACATCCGTGTAGTCTTCGTGGTCCGGATAATGGTGGGAATCAGCTGATGGCCGCTATGCGGGAATATAATCTGGTAATATGTTGTCCTCGTGGGCCGGATAGTGGCGGGAATCTGCTGATGGCCGCTATGTGGGAATATAGTCTGGTAATATACTCTCAAACTCCCCCATGGCATCTACTTCCATATTAATACAGGGATCTAATTCATTTGTTATTCTGAGTACCTGCCATATTGCCATCCAGTCGGCAACTGGCCCCATGCTGTCTTTGAAGTCCCTGATGATGAGCCAGGAGTCGTGGAGCGGTGAGCGCGTCACATAGTCCAGGAAGGTGAGGGCATGGTAGGCGCAGGTTTGTATCTTCGGGTACTGGAAGGCCGCCTCCACCGCCGTCACTTGGGTTCTGGAGATGCCATGATTCTTGATGTAATCCCAGAACCGGTAGTGGACACCACGGGACGAGGAATCGTAGTAGAGGAAGCGTCCGTCTCCACACCTGTACACGGCCACAGCGTGGCCACCGTCCCTGAGATCCACAGACACCATCATACCCTCTCCCCGGGCAAGCATTCCCTCACCAGCGAGGTATTGATCTCGTAAAAATCGACATCGCCTAAGGGGGCGTCGTGTCCTCAGGAAAATATCCTGGACGTCTCCCTCATACAAAAGTCGAATAGTTTTCAGGTAACCATGATACTTATCGATGAACGCTTCCGTCCTACGGAATCCTTCTTCAGTCTTCAACCACTTATCCATTCCTTAAACTCTCGGCGGCTCGGGTGTTATTGATATATTACATGGATAAGGACATGTTATTTATATTCTATATGGTGTAATTTAGTTAAGATGGTACCTGGAGCATACTTAGATTGTGTTCCGGGAAATCTTCTACTCCCCAAGCATGACTGGGGCAAGTTGGGGGAGGTGTAGGGTAGGGTAAGTTGGGGGTGGTGTAATGTAGGGTAAGTTGGTTATGGTGCAGTGTAGGGTAAGGTGGTGGTGGTATAGTGTAGGGTAAGTTGGTTATGGTGCAGTGTAGGGTAAGGTGGTGGTGGTATAGTGTAGGGTAAGTTGGGGGTGGTGTAATGTAGGGTAAGGTGGTGGTGGTGTAGTGTAGGGTAAGTTGGGGGTGGTGTAATGTAGGGTACGTTGGTTATGGTGTAGTGTAGGGTAAGGTGGTGGTGGTGTAGTGTATTGTAAGTTGGGGGTGGTGTAATGTAGGGCAAGTTAGTGGTGGTGTAGTGTAGGGTAAGTTGGGGGTGGTGTTGTGTAGGGTAAGTTGGGGGTGGTGTTGTGTAGGATAAGTTGGTGGAGGTGTTGTGCAGGGTAAGTTGGGGGTGGTGTTGTGTAGGATAAGTTGGTGGAGGTGTTGTGCAGGGTAAGTTGGGGGTGGTGTTGTGTAGGGTAAGTTGGAGGAGGTGTAATGTAGGGTAAGGTGGTGGTGGTGTAGTGTAGAGTAACTTGGTTGTGGTGTAGTGTAGGGTAACTTGGTGGTGTAGTGTAGGGTAACTTGGTGGTGTGGTGTAGGGTAGATGGTGGTGGTGTAGGGTAGATGGTGGTGGTGTGGTGTAGGGTAGATGGTGGTGGTGTGGTGTAGGGTAGATGGTGGTGGTGTGGTGTAGGGTAGATGGTGGTGGTGTGGTGTATGGTAGATGGTGGTGGTGTGGTGTAGGGTAGATGGTGGTGGTGTGGTGTAGGGTAGATGGTGGTGGTGTGGTGTAGGGTAAATGGTGGTGGTGGTTGTATAGGGTAGATGGTGGTGGTGGTGGTGTAGGGTAAATGGTGGTGGTGTGGTGTAGGGTAAATGGTGGTTGTGTGGTGTAGGGTAGATGGTGGTTGTGTGGTGTAGGGTAGATGGTGGTGGTGTGGTGTAGGGTAAATGGTGGTGGTGTGGTGTAGGGTAAATGGTGGTGGTGTGGTGTAGGGTAAATGGTGGTGGTGGTTGTGTAGGATAGATGGTGGTGTTGTGTAGGGTAGATGGTGGTGATGGTGTGGTGTAGGGTAGATGATGGTGGTGGTGTGGTGTAGGGTAGATGATGGTGGTGGTGTGGTGTAGGGTAGATGATGGTGATGGTGTGGTGTAGGGTAGATGATGGTGGTGGTGTGGTGTAGGGTAGATGGTGGTGATGGTGTGGTGTAGGGTAGATGATGGTGATGGTGTGGTGTAGGGTAGATGATGGTGGTGGTGTGGTGTAGGGTAGATGGTGGTGATGGTGTGGTGTAGGGTAGATGATGGTGATGGTGTGGTGTAGGGTAGATGATGGTGGTGGTGTGGTGTAGGGTAGATGATGGTGGTGGTGTGGTGTAGGGTAGATGATGGTGGTGGTGTGGTGTAGGGTAGATGGTGGTGGTGTAGGGTAGATGGTGATGTGGTGTAGGTTAGATGGTGTGGTGTAGGGTAGATGGTGGTGTAGGGTAGATGGTGGTGTGGTGTAGGGTAGATGGTGGTGATGGTGTGGTGTAGGGTAGATGATGGTGGTGGTGTGGTGTAGGGTAGATGATGGTGGTGTGTAGGGTAGATGGTGGTGGTGTGGTGTAAGGTAGATGGTGATGGTGTAGGGTAGATGGTGATGTGGTGTAGGGTAGATGGTGGTGTGGTGTAGGGTAGATGGTGGTGGTATAGGGTAGATGGTGGTATGGTGTAGGGTAGATGGTGGTGTAGGGTAGATGGTGGTGTGGTGTAGGGTAGATGGTGGTGGTGTAGGGTAGATGGTGGTATGGTGTAGGGTAGATGGTGGTGGTGTAGGGTAGATGGTGGTGTGGTGTAGGGTAGATGGTGGTGGTGTAGGGTAGATGGTGGTGTGGTGTAGGGTAGATGGTGGTATGGTGTAGGGTAGATGGTGGTGTGGTGTAGGGTAGATGGTGGTGTGGTGTAGGGTAGATGGTGGTGGTGTAGGGTAGATGGTGGTGGTGTGGTGTAGGGTAGATGATGGTGATGGTGTGGTGTAGGGTAGATGATGGTGGTGGTGTGGTGTAGGGTAGATGGTGGTGATGGTGTGGTGTAGGGTAGATGATGGTGATGGTGTGGTGTAGGGTAGATGATGGTGGTGGTGTGGTGTAGGGTAGATGATGGTGGTGGTGTGGTGTAGGGTAGATGATGGTGGTGGTGTGGTGTAGGGTAGATGGTGGTGGTGTAGGGTAGATGGTGGTGGTGGTGTGGTGTAGGGTAGATGGTGGTGATGGTGTGGTGTAGGGTAGATGATGGTGGTGGTGTGGTGTTGGGTAGATGATGGTGGTGTGTAGGGTAGATGGTGGTGGTGTAGGGTAGATGGTGGTGGTGGTGTGGTGTAGGGTAGATGGTGGTGATGGTGTGGTGTAGGGTAGATGGTGATGGTGTAGGGTAGATGGTGATGTGGTGTAGGGTAGATGGTGGTGTGTAGGGTAGATGGTGTAGGGTAGATGGTGGTGTGGTGTAGGGTAGATGGTGGTGATGGTGTGGTGTAGGGTAGATGATGGTGGTGGTGTGGTGTAGGGTAGATGATGGTGGTGTGTAGGGTAGATGGTGGTGGTGTGGTGTAAGGTAGATGGTGATGGTGTAGGGTAGATGGTGATGTGGTGTAGGGAAGATGGTGGTGTGGTGTAGGGTAGATGGTGGTGTGGTGTAGGGTAGATGGTGGTGTAGGGTAGATGGTGGTGTGGTGTAGGGTAGATGGTGGTGGTGTAGGGTAGATGGTGGTATGGTGTAGGGTAGATGGTGGTGGTGTAGGGTAGATGGTGGTGTGGTGTAGGGTAGATGGTGGTGGTGTAGGGTAGATGATGGTGTGGTGTAGGGTAGATGGTGGTATGGTGTAGGGTAGATGGTGGTGTGGTGTAGGGTAGATGGTGGTGTGGTGTAGGGTAGATGGTGGTGTGGTGTAGGGTAGATGGTGGTGTGGTGTAGGGTAGATGGTGGTGGTGTAGGGTAGATGGTGGTGGTGTGGTGTAGGGTAGTTGGTGGTGGTGTGGTGTAGGGTAGTTGGTGGTGGTGTGGCATAAGGTAGATGGCGGGTAGTGACGACATCTTGTCTCAACAGAGTACTTCAACAACTTCGGCAAGCAGAGCGCCGACAACACCACCTTCCCTTACCACTATGACTACAACTCCGTCATGCATTACGGCGACAACTTCTTCAGGTATGGTCACTCTTCACCAGGTGTGGTCACACTTCACCAGGTGTGGTCACTCTGCACCAGGTGTGGTCACTCTGCACTAGATATGGTCACACTCAAATTCAGTCACACTTTAGTATGGTCATTTCACTCCCTCAGTCGTGGGTATGACAATAATATTTACCTCTGTGTCATTCATTCATGATTTTCGTACTTTACATGTGTACTTTAAGTTTAAAATTTTAATATATTTGATTATTGTGTTTGAGGCTATGCTTCTGTTCCATTTTCGCATTATTACATTTATTTAAATTTTTGCTAATCTTCGTGTAAATAGTTTATTTTATTTGTGGTTTCCTCTCATAAATTTATAAGTTTTTACAGTAAATTTACAAGTCAATACTTATTCGGTTTAATTGTTTCCGAATATATGTTAGAAGCAGATGATGAAATCATTTTGATTTAGCAATAATATATGAGTCAAGCCTAACGTTTCAATAATTTAATTTGTTTACTTTCTTGGATGAGCAGTGAATGTACCCAGAAACTTATTATTGATTTTTCATTTATAATGAATGAAATATATTCATTTGCAATGAATGAAATGTTATAAACACCTTCATTAAATCATTTGAATTCAAATGGTAAAAAAGAAAACTAAGTTTGATTGCCGTATATACACAATAAAGTAAAGTTTTCTCCAGTTCAATATTATTGACTCTGATGTACACGGAGGCGCTGCTTTGTGAAGGTAAATGGACTATTTTCCATACAGTTATTCCCGGTACCAACCGACCATCGTGGCCAAGGTCGAGGGCGTCACACTGGGCCAGAGGATCATGCTGAGCAAGCTCGACTGTCTCAAGCTCAACCACCTCTACGGCTGCCTAGACCAACCTCACCTTAGACAAAAATACACCAGTTTTTGCAAATATTTGGGTTTATGATGAAACTGTTCCCCTCAAATGTGATGATGTGGTGTTTGGTTATATGTGACATCAGAGGCTTCCTTGTATGTACATTGTTAAAGAATTTAGTGTGTTGTGTGTATGTGTGTGTGTGTGTGATTGGATATTGGAAGAAGCCCACCAGGCTTCCATCATTTTCTTGATTTCCGCTATCCGTCGTGGGCATTTTGGTGATCCCACAGTATGCTCGTCTCTACATAGGATGCATTTTGCGTTTTTTTTTTCGATGCATTCCTTGAAATGATGAACGTCGGTGCAAATGCTGCCCTTTCCAACCTATTGAGTACATGTCCTTGTTTAATGGTCAAGTTGGAAACATTGTCGCACTGTTTTATTCGGAAGTGTCTGGATCGGTGTCAATAATATACCAAAGCACTTTAAGCCAGATCCTTCTGCAAGAGTTGCTTGAACTGGAAACTAGAACGTTTGATTGTTATGAGCTAGTTTCCATCTCTTCTGATAATTATGCAGAAATAGCAGTCAATGTCAGGTTAGATTGCTTTCGATGATCTCGGTCGGTTTGTCGGCTATCCACGAATTTATTCGTTTAACAAATTCGGTCCGATCAACTTGGAAACGTCTTGTGGGATGCGCAAGACACTGGCTTCTCGTAGTGCGGCCAGAATTCAAGGTTAAGTACTCTTTTGAAGGGATTCGAGAAAACTAGTGTAGAGATCATCGCCGGTATCAGAGATGTGGACAGGTGCCACGTTGGTAATGCCGCCGAGAACGTCCAGTATATTTCACTCCGGGTTTGCTTGCGGGTGCCTCGGGGCCGGATTTTGATTTGTTAATCATTGTGATAATACCATTAGGAGAGTACTATAAGACAAATACAAGCAATTCCTACACAGAGGTTTAATTGCTAATGTCTCAACGACAATAATTAAAGACGTGAGAACGCTCTTGAGGATGCAAGCTTGCAATCTTCTCCTTCGGATACCTGACACTACTTTAGAAAGTAATCCAATACAACAATACCTTTAGTGACAAATTAAATGTCAGATCCGTCTTAAACCCTGACATACGTTGTTCTGAATTCAAAAACACCCGCCAACTGGTCCCCCCCCCCCAATAGCAATCCTAGTGGTCTGATTCAGTGCGGGTCCTCTCAATGCTGTCCATTGATTGGGTCGCTGAATTACACATCGCTTATTGGTCAATGCAATATTTCCAGCTGTTTGGTTCCTACTAATCTGTTAACATTAATTTCAAATGCAACGGCGTTAACTTTTCAACCTTGTTCAGGCTGACACATTAATAGTAATGTGCGGTGCACACACAATAAATCTATGAAACAATAAAATTTATAATATAAAGTTGATGCCTAATGAATGTCTGACACGTACAGTAAGAATATTACAAAGTTCTAGGGCTCCTGTAACACTGCAAGAATGTAGATCAGGCCAAATATGTCTGGAGAGGCGGACGGTTGAGTTACTAAGAGTTGAACAGATCAACTGCTGACACATGGAACTAATCCTGTGATAATTTATTGTGTGCATGGAAATGTAATATTTTAAAGCAGGATTAAGTATTATGTTTGAGGGAATGAACAACATTATTTATATCCTGAAAATACAAATAGGAAATAACAACAAGTAATAACTCATGCACTTCACAAAATTTACATAACATTAACAGCAGCCTCTTCCTTTTTGACAATGTTCAATGTAGGAGTTTCTCAAACACGAAATGTTTTGACTCGGTTGGTACAAGTATTACCAGACACTATGGCGAGTGCTGACGTATGAGGAGATACCAGCGAGGTACTTCTGTGAGCTCCCAGCGACTGCTACTCCGAGAGGTATGATGGAGAGTAGGAGAAGCCTAGCGAGATATGTGCGATAATGACGGCATAAGACACAGTAAACGTGAGGTCGTGGCATTAGTGTGGGTCTTACAACAAGGCCTTTGGCTCATCATTTTTCCCCAATACTGGCTGCATAATTCAGCCAAACTTAGCCCAGATATGCCGTAGACAATATTCAAAATGTTGATAATAAAAATGGACCGTCTTCAGCCTTGAACCGAATCATGTCAATAAAGTTTGTAAAGTCATCTAAAAATAGTTTTAATTTACCCCAAAATCCCATTTGATAAGACAAATCAGCTTTAATTATTTAATATGTGATGACAGCGCGGCAGCTTCTCTACACCATACGGAAAACACTTTTTCACCCTAAATCACGAGTAAATGGAACGGGTTACAAGAGGAGATCGTTGAGGCAAATCCAATAAACAAATTCAAAAGGAAAAACAGGAGAAACGAAAGATTTTACATTTACTGACCAGGCGACGAAAATGCGGAGCTAGTGAGCTATCATTCGACTCTTAAAATGATCTAATCCAATATAACTAGGTAAGTATATTGGAAGCATGTTGTTGTTAAAGATTCGCTACCTGGAACAAAAAGTTCCAAGTAGCACGGGCTATGGTGAGCCCGTGTATTGGAAACAATATGCATCATCTGACACTTTCGCGACGGAAGAAATGTTCTTAAACCTTAACCTTACTTTACCTAACCTCAAGTAAGGTAAGGTCACCTTACCTTGAGGTAAGGGGCGAAATGTGTCCACTGCTGTGCTGGGAACATCGCCGTGCACATAAGTCAGTCATCACCATTATTGTGATCCAATACTTAGAATTATATGTAGGCTTTCATATATGCATGAGGCTTTCCCTGGTATATTTTACTCGCGCACGCACGCACACCCAGTCAAAGTAGTTAATAAATGGAATGCTTTAGGAAGTGATGTGCTGGATGCAGATACCATACACAGTTTGAAATGTAGAGTTGATAGAGCCCAGTAGGCTCCAGAATCAGTAAACTAGTTGAGAGGCGAACCAAAGAACCAAAACTCAGCCCCCGCAACCACAACTATGCGAGTACATACACACACAGTAGATATGATAGAGCCTAGTAGATTCAGGAATCTGTACACCAGTTGATTGACAGTTGAGAGGCGGGACCAAACAGCCAGAACTCAAGCCCCACAAGCACAACTAGGTGAGTATACACACACACACACACACAACATTAATTCAGCTTATCAAAAGTACTTCATGAATTTTATAGTTCTACGCCTAAATAACCTCGATAAAAGCCAAAACGTACATGAATACACTAGTTTCCTGTCCCCCGACAGATAAAAGGATGGATTTACAAGTCAGTAGATTGGATATATCCTTCCTTCCTTCCTTCCTCCCTCCATCCTTCTGAGGATGTATTATTAAATACGAAAGTACTTAAGAAAAATCCTGTTTCAATTCTTCCTTCGTGGTCTGTATATATTATATATATATGTGTGTGTGTGTGTGTGTGTGTGTGTGTGTGTGTGTGTGTGTGTGTGTGTGACTATGGGAAACTACAAAGCGAACCATATTTACTTGAGTTATGTATACAATATCTCGTGCAGTCTCCGTTTTCTTTGTTTGAAGCGAGAGGCCCATCGTCAGATTCTCACGTAAACCCGTGAACCAACCACTCGGTCGGGTTCCATCCGATCCACGGGTCGTCGTCACCCTTAAATCAACAACAACAATCGTATTGTTTCTTTTTCTTTTAAAGAAACTCGCCCATGTTATCAATAACATTAGCTAATGTGTTTAGGCATGTTCTAATCCTACTTTACATTAGTTTCCCCCAGTGTAGACTGCCCTGCGTGTGGCGAGTCTTATCTCTTGCTATCCATGTGCTTCATTCTCATGTCTTCGTTGCTCTGGTTTACTTGGCAGCCTCTCGATCCAGAGCGGAAACACTTCTCCGTTATGAGCATTGTTCTCAGTCCATACACACACAAGCCGACATTCCACGCGTTCATTCCAAACTTGTTTTTCCTTCAAGTAATTATTTATGTCCGTAACGCACACGGATTGATTTGAGGCTTTTGCTGATAAAGCTTTTAATTGCTTACTCTTATGCTATTCCGTTTCATTACTCTTAGGTACACAGAGCTGTTAACGATATTAATGTCCTTGGCATGTGCTACCGTTGCCTGTTAGTGGTGGTGCTCTCTGGGTCACGCCAACAACTGAGTGACAGACATCCCACCAAACACACATCGAAACTACGACGTTGGTACAACGTTCGAACAAGTTTTAACCCTTCCTAACCAGTTATAACAACCAATATAGCAAGTTGTAACAACGTTCTAATACGTCATAAACACGTTAAGCCAAGATGTAATAACTTTATTACAAGTTGTAACAAGCGGAAAATAGAGACAGTTTCGGTTTGTGTTGTCTATATAGACACGAATATACAGAGCGCTTCATAAGTATGAACCATAAGACTCAATGATGGAACTGGTGATATCACGAGCACCAGAATGAAACTGAAAAATAATGATAAACACATAATGGTTACAGATTTACGAGAGACTACACTACACACATAAATAGCGTGTTGTATCAAATGAACAAATCCACAAGGGCCGTGACGAGGATTCGAACCTACGTCCGAGAGCATCCTAGACGCTGCCTTAATCGACTGAGCTACGACATGGTATAAGATGGCCAAACCCCTTGTGGATTTGTTCATTTACGAGAGACCTTACATTACACACATACTGAATAGCCTAACCGGTTCCAGTACCTGACCCAAGGATTAAATCGCAATATAAACAAACAAAAGAACTCTGTCAATGATCGTTAGCTGCCATATCACAGCATCAAGTGCTATCAACGTCACTCTTGGCCATTCTCATCAACAATGATTTACTATTTACCGAGATCGTCGGCATTACCTGCTTGATACCTGGTTGATGGGGTTCTGGGAGTTCTTCTGCTCCCCAAGCCCGGCCCGAGGCCAGACTTGACTTGTGAGAGTTTGGTCCACCAGGCTGTTGCTTGGAGCGGCCCGCAGGCCCACATACCCACCTTTGCATTATCAAGGTTTCCAAAAAATCTTGATTTTGAGTCTCTCGAGGGAGGTGGGGGGGTGAATATTTGAAATTCGACTAGAACCAGTATGTGGAGCATAGCTATGTTTGTTCAGCTTATTAGAACAACTCAACGGGTTCACAAATATAATTATCCCTTTTTATCTAGTCTGTGGCAGGGAGTCCAGGCCAGAGAACAGGAATAAATTGTATATTTTTTGGCCATTGTTGTAGAGTGGTTCACAGTTGAACCCTCTGGCACCTGTGTGACCACCTGCGTGATGAACAAGTTCAAGTTCAAGTATGTTTATTGAGATAAGCAATAAATACATCTCAAAGGGATAGAGTAGCTTAGGCTATTTCTACCCCCCAACGCGTGCTGAACAGTCTTCAGTATATGCCGTTCTCTCCCCAGATCTGACTAGCGTGATGTTATTAAAGGATTAACAGCAAACAGCCGTGACCTTGAGACACACGTGGTATGATGTATTGTTGACTTACCGGGCCGTCTAATGAAGGCTGAGAGATCGTTGTCCACATCTGTTTGAGGGAAAATGTATGTAAAGACCTGAAGCGACTGTTGTGTGACTCGGGGAGCTGGTAGTTAGCGGCAGTTAATGAGGGTTGTGGTTTTGGTGGTTTGGGGGGAGTTGTGTAGAAGAGACAACGGTCTAACATGTGTGTCCCACTTCCCTCCCTCTCTTTCGTCCTCCTTCCTCCCCCTCTCCCTCTCTTTCTTCCTCTTTCTCCCCTCTTTCTTCCTCTCTCTCTCTCTCTCTCTCTCTCTCCACCCCCCACCCCCTACTTACCACACCTCGCTAGATTTGATCCAATACATTTTTATGATGATTCCTGGATAATGTAACCGGACACCCTGTTAAGAGAAACCCGAAGACTGGGACACGGGGCTCCCACCACCACCACCGACCTAAGCTGTCACAGTCTCTCTACCGACCAATTAATAACTGACTGTAAAACAACTGTTCCTTACCAAGCCAGACAAGCCTTCGCATGCTAACCAAAGAAACCTAGATAACATGTTTCTTTATTTATAATAACCAAATTACTTGTCTACACATCTACAGGTGTACTGTACCTCTCTACACATACCTTGTACATCTATACAATGCTATAGGTACACTGTGAGTGTATAAGCGGGTGAGTGTATAAGGAGGTGAGTAAGAGGAGTGTATAAGCGGGTGGGAGTGTGAAAGTGTAGATGAAGAGGACTGGACGATCATTCCTCAACCCGTTCCTCGACTCAAGGCTATTACATCCGACGGTCGACCCCACAGACGCATTCATAAGTTTTTACATGCTGTTCATTCAAAGCTGGAATTTTCTCAAATATAAATTATTATTATAATATATTAACATATTGTGCATATGTAACGTAACGGAAAATGAAAAGGAAAGAAATGAAAAATAAGGTGTGGGCAAGGAGGTGAGGGAGGTAGAAAGGTGTGAGGAAGGAGTAATCAGGGGAAAGAGAAAGTTTAGAATGAGAGAGGGAGAAACTGAAATCAAGGAAAAAATGAGTAGAGTAGAAAGTAAGTGTGCTACAATAATAGAAAGATAGAAAGGTTGAAGGATGAAAGTTGCTGCCACCATCCATTCTGGTAAGTCATATACAAGACAAGGAATGGAAATTGTTTGTACCACAATATTCTCTCATGTTAGCATGTACTCGTGCATTAAAATCTTAAAAACAGTAACCTTAGAGGGCTCTCTACTCTCGCCTCAACTGACAAAGATCTAGTGAACAACATTAGTCAATTTAAACAGTTAATTAATTATATATTTAACATTAGATCTTCATGCATAGGAATATCATAATTCAATCATTACTTCAGACGCTAATTGACAACAATAATATACAATGTGAGTTACCACACAAGACATTGAGGACACCACGGCTGACTGCCCCTGAAAATCACACAACACCTTAAGATGGAGACACCAAATACGTCACCTTAAGTTCACTCACCAAAGACTGAGCCTACGTTTGATTGAGAGGGGGGGGGTGGATTACGGTTGACAGAGCTGTTTACACCAGCCCGTCCTCCAAACAAAGACCCAAAAGTGATTCCATGCACCCGCCAAACCCCCTGTTTATTAATGAAAAACGGTTTACACACGAATCACAACTGATGACGTTCGAACAGTTCCGGAACAAGT